CTCTCATATGAACATTTGAAATTTGCCCTGTTCTGACTTTTTTCTAGTTCCCTGTCTAGAACTTGTAATGCTAATTACTCTTGCCTTTACTTCTCCTTCACATCTCCCATTCATGATACAAGGACTTTCTTCTCCCCTTAGAGACAAAAGTTACGCAATTTGGGAATCTTTTAGATAGACCCACTGAAGGGGCACTCCAATTGCCTCACCCTGCATCCCTGTTCAGCATGGAAGAAGCCAAGGAGGTCTGCATCTCGATTCCCTATCAGTAAGCTGGGTAACCTCTTTAGAGGATAGTGTGATAAGAATAGGAGGTAGGAATTGGCTAGGTAATTAGTATAAAAAGACCCCAAAGAAAAAGGAAAAGAAGCCAGTTTCTTGGATAAAACTCACACTGTCCTTGGGCCTCTTAGCAACATACTTCTTTCCAAAGGCCAAAAAATTGGAAAATATTTGGGAGCTTTTATATAATCCTTAAAAGATTTTAGGGTTACTGATGGGAATGTTAGAGTAGAGAAAAGCCCCATTAAAAAATCAAAGAAGAAGAAAGAGTACAAGAAGTTATAGAAAAAAATGATGGGGAGATATGGGAGGAGTTAGAAGGGAGGGAGTGGGCGTGGATTTGATCAAAATGCCTTATGCTTATACGCCTTAGGAAATTCTCAATACATTATTTTTAAAAAGAATAATATATATAAAAAAGAAAGAAAGAAAGAAAAAGACACTGCAGCCAGTTAAGCCAACCAGGTTCCTTTCCTCATGGGCCTGGTGTGCAATGGCTACAAACAGTAACCTCCTTGGTAGTGTATGCAACTTGCTGCATGTATGGGTTGCCCTAAGGGACCTTGGAGACAGTTTCCTAGTTGATATTCATGTCTCTGATCTCAGTGCTTTCCTTAGTCTAGGCTCCAAACTGGTATGCAGGGTGCCTTTGGGAAGCCCCAGAGCACAGTGGTCAGGGTTCATATTGTCCAGGTCATCATGTCCATCCACACCAAGCTGAAGAATAAGGAACATGTGATTAAGGCCCCATGTAGGGTCAAGTTCAGGTTCCCTGGCTGCCAGAAGATTCATATCTCAAAAAACAGGGGCTTGCTGTTCATTTTCCCAGTTATATGCTGGGTTATAGCTGACCTTCCTAAAACAAAGACCTTTAGATAGGCTGACTAGATTCACCAGATGGACAAGTAGTGGGGAATGGCTGGGGGTGCCGACAACACAGCAGACAGTAGCAGGGATATCAGAGTATAAGGGCTCTAGTGGGGGGAGGGAGGCTATGAGAGGGGGCGAGCTGGGAAGTGGGTGTATAGTTGAATAAGATGGTTTGGGATGTTCTGTGTGATATACACACACAAAAAAAAAAATTAAAAATTTTTTTTAAATGTATTATATTTGAGGAGGAAGCATGGAAATTTACGTCATGCTAATTAGTAGAGGTGATAAACATTACCACTGAAATCTACCCGATGACTTTATAGACATACACAGGTGCCAAGGATCCAAGTGCAACCGATTATGACTAGTAATAATCAGATACATACAGATTAGAGATGCATGCGCCAACATCTCAGTAGCAAAAACAATGAGTCTTTCTGCAAGGAACAATATATTCTAAAATGAAATGGAGATCTTTTTTAAAGGTTAAAAACTCATTCAATTTTATGTCTTACAGGACTTATACTGAGTTCAATATTGTATAACTGTATTAATTCAACTGTGAACCTAGAAACTTACAGCCGCTTGTGAAAGAGATGTACTCTTGCTCTGGAGTGTGTTACTGAATATGTTAGAGCTGTAATGAAATGCTTCTTCTAAAAAACAAAAAACAACAACAACAACAACAAAAAAAAAAAACCCAGGGGCTTTATAAAGTTTAATGCTGAGTCCTACACCCTACCAAATCATGTTCGGTAATAAATATCACATGCAGCCTAGAAAATAAGTAAATAAAAGACAGCAAAAACACCAAAAAAAAAATAAAAATAGAGCAATATCTAAAAAAATTTAATGTCTTATCCTATTAATTCTTAATCAGAAAACAGGAATAAAAATCACTGTATCAGGGCTAATGAGATGGCTCAGTGGGTAAAGGCATTGCCACCAAGCCTGACCACTTGAGCTTGATCCATGGGAAGGAAAAAGCCAGCTCCTGCAAGTTGTTGGCTGACCTGGTCTCCACATATGCACACACACACACACACACACACACACACACTAAAGTATATTTTCAAATCACGTATCACCCCAAACTTACTGGTTATCAAAGGGCAAGATGATATCTATGAGCTGGCCTGTAATCCTAGAACGTGGGAGGTAGAGGCAAGAGGATCAGGAGTTCAAGGCCAACCTTGGCTATATAGAAAGGAGACTTTATCTCAAAAAAACAAAAACAAAAAAAAAACAAGAAAAACATGAGTCTGAAAGTACAAGACAGCATATGCTAGAGAGAACACAGAAATGGCAATGTCTTGGTGAAGCAATTCCCAGCAAGATGACACAGGCATCTGTCCTTTAATCCAGCGATCCTACTTCTAGGGAACTGTCCCAACAATTTTCAAACAAACAAACAAACAAATACATAAATAAAGGAAGGAAGAAGGAAGTAAGGAAGGAAGGAAGGAAGGAAGGAAGGAAGGAAGGAAGGAAGGAAGGAAAATATAAATGAACAAGGGTATATAAAATTTGTAATCCCCAAAGAAAACAAACCAATTGGAAACACTCCCATGATGATCAGATGTCCATTTGATTAAATTATGACAGAATCAGCAGACTACCATGTAAAAAAAAAAAAAGAATTAGGTGGGTTTTGCTTCAATTAAAATTCCCAATGATATTGTAGATTAAAAAAAAAAAGCAGAGTGGGGGCTACATATGAACATAGGTGATTCAGTGCTAGCGTGAGCAAAGCTCTGGGTCCCACACAACATAAAAATAAAAAGCAAAATGTAAAAAAGTATATGTGGAGCCTGGAGAGATGGATTGGATGGATCGGTGGTTAAGAACACTGGCTTTTCTTGCAGAGGACCCAGGTTTGAATCCCAGCACCCATATGGTAGCTAACAACCATCCATAACTCCAGTTTCAGGGGTCCTAATGCCCTCTTTGGCCCTCTATGGGCACTGCATGATATGGGTGCACTCACACTTATGCAGGCATAACACTCATACACATAAAATAAAAATTAATTTTTTTAAAAATTTAAGTATATGTATTCTTATTATTATTTGGTGTGTGTGTGTGTGTGTGTGTGTGTGTGTGTGTGTGTGTGTGGTGTATGCAGGCATATCTTTGCCACAGCACACATTTGTAATCTCAGCATTCAGGAGGTGGGAGTAAGAGAATCAGGAGTTCAGGGTTGTCCTTTGCTACATAGCAAGCTGAAGGTTAGTCTGGGAAAAAAAGAGAGGGGGCTGGAGAAATGGCTCAGTGGTTAAGGGCACTGACTGCTCTTGAAGAGGACCCAGGTTCAAGTCCCAGATACCATAGGATGGTTAATAACTGTCCATAACTCCAGTCTCCAGTTCCAGGGGAATCCAATATCCTCTTCTGACCTCAATGGACATTGTATGACTCAGGTACTCATACACATGCAGGCAATACCCTCATACACGTAAAATAAAAATAATAAAAAAATTTTTGAAGAAAAGAAAATAAACTAGATGTGGTAGTATATTACACCTGTAATCGTAGCCGTCATGAAGCTGAGGCAGGAGATCTCTGATTTGAGGCCAGTCTTGGTTACGTAGCAAGACCCTGACTCAAAAAACCAAAGGCTAGGACCAAGCTTGGTGTCTTAATCCGAGCATTCAGGAGGCGGAGGCAGGCAGATCTCTGTGAGATCAAGGCCAACCTAGTCTACATAGTAAGCTCCAGGCCAGCTGGGGTTATAGGGAGACCCTGTCTCAAAAAACC